CTGGTGGGAACGAACCTGCATGCTGTTCTGGATGCTGCCTCGGAGCTCTTGGAGGGACTGTCTCCACCTTCCTACCATTGGACTGCCTCAGGTAACAGAGCAGAGAGGTGGCCAAAGCCTTGCAGTGTCATGTCAAGGCACAGACACATGGGGCCTTGGCCCTTCAGCCCAAATTTGCAAGGGCTTCCCCTCGGCCACCATGCCCAGGGCTGGGTATGGAAGCCCTGGACCACATGGCAGCAGTAGGAGACAGGGCTACATCTCACTTCATACAGGCTGACCTTGCACAAGTCCAAGCCTCCAAGTGCCTTTAAAGCAGCCAACAACCAATTCAGATGGAGTTTTAAAAACCTTATTCACCATCTGATGTTTGGATAAGAAGCTAAGCTGGATATCCACGAACGCCAGCATTACTGTATCTCTCAACGCAACCTTGCAGTTTGCTGTTCCCTACAACGGAGCAGGTGGTTCCTTAAAACCAAGCATAGAAGGAAGAAATCCAGGTTTCCCCATGGGTCTCTCTCAAGGTTGAGTCTAAGGGATGAGTTCACACTGCCACTTTTATGCTCTATCTTGGCTCATATTTTCAGAAAAACCTGTAGGGCTGTTATACCTTTGAAGCCCACCACCCAATATGGCCAAAATGGGCCAAAAGGTTCAGAAGTCATTGGGGGAAATTAAGATGGACACAAAAACAGAACAACTGCACTTTTCATATGGCTAAAAGCTCCTGCCTAACTTCGTATTTCATCTTCCAAATGAAAAAAAAGCCTCCAGTAACTATGTGAACAATGCAGAAGAGATAGAAAACCTGTGTGAAGGGAAGAACAGGGCACAGAGCAGGGATGGAAGGGAATTGCGTTCCTGAGGGGAACGCTCTTTTATTAAGCATCTCTATCAGAGGTAATAGGGAAAAATTAATGCATTAGAGGGAGACCTCTCATTACCCAGCTGGATGGCATCCAACACAAACCCACAATAACCACAACTGGCTTTCAAACACAGTAAAAAGACGCACAAAAGGTTTGCTATTGGCCAAGCGGTAAGCAGAAGAACTGTTCCACACCCAACGATAGCGCTTGCCTGTCTTAACCTCACCGATGGGGTTTGAAAAGCTGATGCTCAAATTCATAAGCACTGTCAAGTTACAACCATAAAGTAAAACAGAAAAATGATGGAGCAGAAGAGTGGAACCTCCCTGTCCTCATCTCTTGCCCGTCCGCGTACCTCCAACAAGACGCGCTCCTGCCTGCCTTTCTCTAAATCTCCCTCGATGCTGAAGTTTGCACTTGCAGAGGAAATTCAACACACAGATTTACAATTTGCTGGACAGACGGAGAGGCCTAGAGTAAGGAGCTCTAATCCATCGAGGATGTTCTCTCGCTAGAGCCCAGAGTGAAATTCTTCAAGTGCTGGAGACAGATTTTCCTTGGCAGGCGGCCACGAGTGTCGATCTGGCTTCTAGGAGAGATCAGCATGGCTGTGGATTGAAGCAACTTCACAGACAAACATAAAACCTTCCTCTTCAACTAACTTTCTTATAATAAACCCATGAAAATGAAAAGCTAAAACATTTCCAGCTGGCCAGAAGCTGTGGAGAGAACAGTGAACTTATTGCATGTGCAGGCTTGGGGCTGATTTGAAAGCTCCTGGAGATCTTCGGTGGTATTTGGACATTCAATGGTATTTGGACAGAAGCGCCTAAGTCACTTTTGAAAGATGCAAATTTAGGCCCTTTCATATTTTAGCAAGGTTATTTATGGAACTATATTTATTTCAGTTTTCTAACATATAGCACTGAGTGCGTAAGAGTGTGTAAGTTTAAACTTTAAGAGGAAAAAGTAACTATTGCTTCCTTGTAAAGCCTTAAATATTTGAGTATCGCTGTCAGACCCTTGTTATAAAAGGGCTCTTACAGAAGGACTTGAGATGTGACTTGATTTACTTTATCACTTCATTAAAGGTATTTATGGATTTAGAATTGTCCCAGGATGGGAAGAAAAGTCCCTTTTTAAATTACTGTCTGCTCAGAATAGCAATTTTGATTCTCTGGGCTTGACTCCTTTCCTCTTTACCATACGGTGATGGAATTGCTCCCAGTTTCCTTGAGCGCAAGGGGAAAATCAGGCTTTCGATGTAAGAGGGATCTTACACTTGAGTCCGCTGCACTGAACAAGGCGGAGCTCTGATGCTCCTAGGTAGTGACATTTTCACAGGGCTTATTTTCCACTACAAGGATCTGTATTCAAGACACAAACCAAATCACTACATATTTCTACCATTTTATATTTTATTGTACTAAGACTTAATTTTGGTCATTCCCTTAAACTTTATCATCCCACATTACTTTGAAAATCTTCTGTCATCTACAATTGCTCTGTAACAGCTGGTATTGAAATATATTGGGAAGGGAGGGGGAAATCTCTTTAATCTCCCTACTGACTTGGTGCATTTTTTGCCCAGTCACTTTTCCTCCCTACATAACCGAGCCAGACCTCTTCTGCCTGCTTGTGCAAAGCCACGCTGACAGGACAGCTCCAAGGCAAGTACAAACCTACCTGAAATATAAACCTGAAATTACTTTTAACATTTTGAGAAGCTTGTCTGGATTTCAGGTTGGAAACACCCTTTCACCAGCTATGCCGGCGTTCCTTCCCGGGCGAAGGAAAACAGCCAGAAACACAAACACTTTCAGGTTGTATCTTTTTCCCTGTTCATAGCTTTAAGTCAATATTGTGTTAACATTTAGCAGCTTAAAAGAGAAAGAATGCAATGGCCGAAAAGAACAAATTAAAAACAAGCTGAAGAACAAATTAAAGAGCTCTCTTTGCTGTACCTTCGTCCATCCACCCTTCCAGCTATCCCCTGCTCCCAGGCCCTGCAGCTGGAGCTGCAGTCCACCAAGCACCACGGCAGTGGGAGCGTTGGAGTTGTGATGGCCCCGGAGCAGCCCACGGAGCTTCACACAGATGAGCGTAGTG